TATTATTATTATTAATAATATTATTATATACAGGTATATATGTATTTATGTGTGTGTGTGTGTGTATATATATATATATATATATACCTTCAACCATATTAGAGACCCAGATCTTGTATGTATTTAATAATAATAATAATAATAATTTGCAAGTATGATGATGATGATTATTATTATTATAATTATTATATACAGGTATGTATTTATGTGTGTGTGTGTGTGTGTATACACCTTCAACCATATTAGAGACCCAGATCTTGTATGTATTTAATAATAATAATAATAATAATAATAACAATAATAATAATAAGTTGCAAGTATGTTTATTATTATTATTATTATTATTATTATTATATACAGGTATGTATGTATTTATGTGTGTATGTGTATATATATATATATGTGTGTACATATATATACCTTCAACCATATTAGAGACCCAGATCTTGTATGTATTTAATAATAATAATAATAATAATGAGTTGCAAGTATGTTTATTATTATTACTATTATGATATACCTGTATGTATGTGTGTGTGTGTGTGTGTGTGTGTGTATATATGCCTTCAACCATATTAGCGACCCATTTTGTAGGGTTTTCTTAGGCAAGCTTGGTTTGGCAGCCCTTTTTCATTGTCGGTCTCCCATCCAAGTGCCGACCAGGGCCGGCCCTGCTTAGCTCCCAAAACCTAGGACAGACCTAATGCCTGTTGGGCTCTCTCTGCAAATCCTTTACTTTTCCCTAAAAGCAACCACTTTCTAAGTGGCCTTGCATTATTATTATTACAAGACATTCCTCTGGCATGGATGGGTTGCAAAAAGGCTCCTTGGGGTCTAGCAGATGTTGCAGAAGAAAGAAAGCCCTGGCGTGCTCCATGTGCTGGAAAGCGCATTGTTTTGAGTTTGTTTTAAATCATACATTTAGACAGTATTTCGCATCTCACTGCCCCCGTCTCCCCCCCTTTTTTGCTTTATTTTATTTCATTTTTTGGACTCTGAGTCACTTTGTCTTTGTTCCCGGTTTAATGCAACGCACACATTGGTTGGCCTTTTCCCCCTTTTAATGGGATCCAGAGGGGAGAGAAAATGCTTACTCACAATATTTACCCCAGAGTTGACCCAGTGCCATTGGGTTTGCATAAGAGAGAGGCCTGCCTGCAGGAAAAGGCCCGGATCCTTGGCAGAATTCATGCACTTGGCTAGTTTGCCCGCATCCTGTTCGCAACGTAAGCAGACCTTCCAGCGCATGGAGCATTGCAATGGCTGCGTTCTGCTGACAGCCCCATAAAGAGAACCTATTATTATTATTATTATTATTGTTTATCCCACTTTTTCTCCCCATAAGAAGACTCAAAGTAGCTATGTGTATTATTATTATTATTATTATTATTATTATTATTCCCACTTTTTCTTCTCATAAGAAGACTCAAAGTAGCTATGTATCTATTATTATTATTATTATTATTATTATTATTATTATTATTTATCCCACTTTTTCTTCCCATAAGAAGACTCAAAGTAATTATGTATCTATTATTATTATTATTAATCCCACTTTTTCTTCTCATAAGTAGACTCAAAGTAGCTATGTATCTATTATTATTATTATTTTATTATTATTTATCCCACTTTTTCTTCCCATAAGAAGACTCAAAGTAGCTATGTATCTATTATTATTATTATTATTATTATTATTATTTATCCCACTTTTTCTCCCCATAAGAAGACTCAAAGTAGCTATGTATCTATTATTATTATTATTATTATTATTAATCCCACTTTTTCTCCCCATAAGAAGACTCGAAGTAGCTATATATCTATTATTATTATTATTATTATTATTATTATTATTATTATTTATCCCACTTTTTCTTCCCATAAGAAGACTCAAAATAACTATGTATCTATTATTATTATTATTATTATTATTATTATTATTATTATTATTTATCCCACTTTTTCTTCCCATAAGAAGACTCAAAGTAGCTATGTATTATTATTATTATTATTATTAATCTCACTTTTTCTTCCCATAAGAAGACTCAAAGTAGTTATGTATCTATTATTGTTATTGTTGTTGTTGTTGTTGTTGTTGTTATTTATCCCCACTTTTTCTTCCCATAAGAAGACTCAAAGCTATGTATCTATTATTATTATTATTATTATTATTCCCACTTTTTCTCCCCATAAGAAGACTCAAAGTAACTATGCATCTATTATTAGTATTAGAATAGTAATTATTATATAATAATAATTATTATTACTAGCTTAGGGTCCTGGTGTTATTCAAAAAGGGCATTTTTCGGCTGGGTTAAGCGGTCTCTGGATAAGGGTGAACTACAACTCCCAGATCCAAGGTCAATCACCCCCAAACCCTGCCAGTATGCACCGTCTCTGATGCATTTCCACTATAGAATCAAATGTCGTTTGGCTCTACTTATAATTGCCACCGTTTAGTGCTATGAAATCTAGGGAAAGTGGTGTCAAACCGCATTTGTTCTGCCATGGAGACGCTCCCTTGCTCTTTCTCTAGATTTCTAGTTTCTTGGAAAACCAAGAAGGGTTGAGTAACCCAAAGGCACTTTGCCCATTGAAGGGAAGGCCAGCGTCTTCCCTTTTCTACGGCTTTTGGAAGCAAAGCACACTTTCCAGGAACTTACTGATTGATGGATCATTTATTGATCCCTCCTGAGCATTAAAGAGGTGTGGCATTAATTCCACTGTGTAGATGCACCTCTGTAAGCCAATCGGTGGTGCAGAAGATTGCATTGCATGTACAACTGTGACATCGATGCAGTTTGAGACTGGGATTTCTAGTTTTGCAAGGACTTCCATGCCAAAGAGTGTTGGGTCCATTCCATAACATGGAGCCATGCAGTTGATTCCACAGACTTTCGCCTTGAAACGATATCAAACTGCATTAATTTTGCAGTGTAGATGATGCAGAAGCTTTGGTTTTGTTTTGAAACCTTCCTTTGCTTGCATTTTGCAAACTTTCTGGAAAAGGGAAGATGAAAGGGTTTTAAAAAGCCCAACTTTTGCTGTTGTTATTGGCCTTCAACGCAATGCATTTTATTATTATTTCATATGGGAAGGTCTCCTTGGAAAGAAAAAGGCTGTAATATTAGATGTTTGGAGACTTGTTCCAAAGGCAGAAAAATATTATATTTATGTAGTGGATTTCTCCAAAAAAGAGGTGTGTAGAAGAGCCTTTGCTCTATGTTTCCCAGCCTTGGCCTTTGCTTCAATTATTATATTATTCCCCTTTGAAAATGGAAGTGCATTTCTCAACCTGGGGGGTCACGACTCCTGGAGGGGTCGAATGGGCATTGCATAGGGGTCACCAAACACCATAAGAAAACACATATTTCTGATGGTCTTAGGAACTACAACTCTAAAACTCAAGGTCAATACCCACCAAGCCTTTCCAGTATTTTTTGTTGGTCATGGGGATTCTGTGTCATGGAGGAAGTTTGGCCCAATTCCATCGTTCGTGGGGTTCAGCATGCTCTTTGATTGTAGGTGAACTATAAACCCCAGCAACTACAACTCCCAAATGTCAAGGTTTATTTTCCCCAAACTCCACCAGTGTTTGGGCATATTGAATGTTCGTGCCAAACTTGATCCAGATCCATAATCCAGTGCTCTCTGGATGTAGGTGAACGACAACTCCAAAACTCAAGGTCAATGCCCACCAAACCCTTCCAGTATTTTTTGTTGGCCATGGGAGTTCTGTGTGCCAAGTTTGGTTCAGTTCCATCGTCGATGAGGTTCAGAATGCTCTTTGATTGTAGGTGAACTATAAATCCCAGCAGCTACAACTCCCAAAAGTCAAGGTCTCTTTTCCCCAAACTCCTCCACATTTGGGCATATTGAGTATTCGTGCCAAGTTTGGTCCCGATCCATCATTCTTTTAGTCCACAGGGCTCTCTGGATGTAGGTGAACTACAACTCCAAAACTCAAGGTCAGTGCCCACCAAACCGTTCCAGTATTTTCTGTTGGTCATGGGAGTTCTGTGTGCTAAGTTTTGTTCAATTCCATCGTTGGTGGAGTTCAGAATGCTCTTTGATTGTAGATGAACTATAAATCCCAGAAGCTACAACTCCCAAATGTCAAGGTCTCTTTCCCCCAAACTCTTCTACATTTGGGAATATTGAGTATTGGGAATATTGAGTGCCAAGTTTGGTTCAATTCCATAGTTGGTGGAGTTCAGAATGCTCTTTGAACTATAAATTGTAAGTGAACTATAAATCCCAGCAACTACAACTCCCAAATGACACAATCAATCCCCCCGCCAACCCTACTGGTATTCAAATTTGGGCGTATCGGGTATTTGTGCCAAACTTGGTCTTGTGAATGAAACTCATCCTGCATACCTGATATTTACATGATAATTCATAATAGGAGCAAAATGACAGTTATGAAGTAGCAACGAAAATAATGTTATGTTTGGGGGGTCACCACAACACGAGGAACTGTGATAGAAAATGTATGTCTTATATGTAATATCTATCTATCTATCTAGATGCATATTATATGTATATATTTTATAATGCATATATATTAGTTAAATAAGTTAGATCCCAAGGGGGGGGGGCACATCTACACTGTAGAATTTACACAGTTCCAACCCCATTTGTCCTGCTGTGGCATAATGGGAGTTGTAGTTTTTAAAGGTCTCTGTTGAAAAGTGCTGTTCATTGCACATGGGGAGCTTGGCGTGCGTGCACATTTTGCACCATTTCACATTGGTGTGCATTGGAAGCGGCGTATTTATGGGCATTCTGCATTTCAAAGGTCCCTTTGGTGGTGCAATCAAACAAAAGGGGGGGGGCACATGTATGGAAAAGTCAAGGAAAAGGGAAGTAACTTTAATAGGGATTTGTGCAGGCACACTGATCCCTGGGATGCGCCTTTCAATGCAACGCATTGGTGGGCTTCATACTTGATTCTGTCTATGATTAAAGTCAATATTCCTTGCAATTCTTGTTTATTCTAGATCGGGAAGCGTCCTGCACCACTGGAGCGAAATCTACTACTTTGTGGAGCATCTGGCGCACAAGTTTATAAGGTAAGCTTTCGAAGTTCTGTTGGGTGCATCTACACTGTAGGATTAATGCAGATTGACACCACTTTGACTCCTATGGCTCACTGCTATGAACTCCTGGGAGTTGTCGTTTTCCAAGGTCTTTCATTTCCTCTGGATGCATCTACACTGTAGAATTAAATGCAGATTGATACCACTTTGACTCCCATGTCTTAATGCTATGGACTCCTGGGAATTGTAGTTTCCCAAGGTCTCTCACTTCCTCTGAATGCATCTACCCTATAAAATTAATGCAGATTGGCACTGCTTTGACTCCCATTTCTCAATGCTATTAAATCCTGGAAGTTGTAGTTTCCCAAGGTATTTTGCCTTCACTGGATGTATCTACACTGTAGAATGAATGCAGATTGACATTACTTTGCCTCCCATTTCTCAATGCTATGGAGTCCTGGGAGTTGTAGTTTCCCCAAGGTACTTTTCCAAACTACAACTCTGAGAATCCCCATAGCATTGAACCTTTGCAGTTTAAAGTGAGATCAATTTGCATCAATTCTTCAATGGAGATGCAACCTGCCACATAGTAAGAAAGCCTTGAGCATTTCTCAAATTCTTAGGGCAGGCGGAGCATTTTGTGCATTCGCTGCTCGGGCAAAGGTTTGATTCCATGTCATTCGCAAGGAATCCAAAATAAACGCTTCCTAGCTGTGCGTTTCCATGTTTAAGGAATCCGTAGGGAAAGGCGAGGCGCAGAATAATACATTTTCAAATGAGAGAGTTGGGCCATCCAGTCCAGTCTGGTTTTTGCATGCAAACACGATTAAATCCCTCCAGAGAGATGGCCCCCCAGCCTGTTCTCTTCAAGGAAAGAGTTGGGACAGCTTTTTCCTTGATATATTTGCTGGGTTTACTTGCACAGGGCCCACATGGAAAGTGAGAAAAAGCAAATAATAATAAAAAATAATTATTAATTACTAATAATGCTAATAAATAATAATTATTATTAATTGCAATTATTATTATTATTATTATTATTATTATTAGGAATGTATTGGTCTTCCAGCACATCTCTATGGTTAATTTGTGCTGGAAGCTCAGCAAAGGATTGCATTGGACAACCTAGAGATAATTGACACCACTTTGACTCCCATGTTGAATCTGCAGAAAGTCAAAACTGCAAATATAGATGGACGACCAAATATTTCACACTGGAAACCAAATGTGGAAGGATTATAATTCATGCATTTGTTGTGCACTAAATTATGTGCCTTTTTCTAATGCTCTTTATTAGAAATACTTGTTAACTTTGCAATGATTTGTCCCATTAGCAAATGTAACCTGTGTACTTAAGCTACTCCTTTGTTGGTATGCACTGCCATCTGGTGGTTTCCCTTGAGCACTGCATATATATTACTTGGGGAGGGGGGTTGCTTTAAAAGGTGATGGAATTTGTAGTTCAAACCCTATCACTATTTTAATTTGGATCATAAAGGATATTTATGCCAAGTTTGGTCCAGATCCATCAAGCCACGTAAGAGCCTTTGTGGATCAAACAAATGCATATACTTTGATTATACTCGCTTGGGTCCCCAGCATTGCCTGACATATTTGAAAAATGTATAAGGTTGTGGGTGAACTACAACTCACATCATGCCACGTTAACCCCCGAAACTCCATCAGTGGTTAAAGTTTGTCATGTTGGGCAAGTTTGGTCTAGATGCATCATTGTGCTCTCTGGCTGCAGGATGAACTACATCTCCCACCATGGTGACTCAGTTCTCCTCAAACCCCTCCAGTAGGTTCAGCTGGTCATGGGGGTTCTGTGTGCCAAGTTTGGTCTCGGTCTATTGTCAGTGGTTCTCACTGTGTCTCTGAATGTAGGTAAACTACTACTCCCAGAAATGAAGGTCACTTCCCCCCAAACCCCTGGAGTAGATTGAGTTGGTCATGTGGGTGCTGTGTGCCAAATTTGATCTAGGTCCATTGTCAGTGAGGTTCACCGTTTCTCTGGTTGTAGGTGAACTACAACTCTCAAAAACCATGGTCAGTCTCTCCTAATCCCCTCCAGTATTCAAATTTGGGCATATCAGGTATGTGTGCCAAATTTAGTTGAGGTCCATCACTGGTGAGGTCCAGAGTGCACTTTGATTGCAGGTGAACTATAAATCCCAGAAGTAAAACCCCCAAATGCCAAAGTCAATTCCCCCAAATCCTACCAGTATTCACAATTGGACATATTGGGTATGCATGCTAAATGTGGTCCTTGTTTGGGTTCACAGTGCTGTCTGAATGTAGGTGAACTACAACTCCTATAAATCAAAGTGAATTCCCCCCAAAGCTCTCTAGTATTTTTTGTTGGTCATGAAGGTTCTGTGTGCCAAGTTAGGTCCAAGTCCATCATTGATGAGAATCAAAATACTCTTAGATTGAAGTTGATCTATACATCCCAGGACCTACAACTCCCAAATGTCAAGACTCATCTCCTACCCCCAAATCGTTCCAGTATGTTCTGTTGAACTTGGTGTTTCTGTGTTCCAAATGTGGCCCAGGTCCATTGTCAGTGGGGGTCACAGTGCTGTGTCTTGATGCAGGGTGAACTACAACTTCCATCATGTGGAGTCAATCTCACAATCCTTTCCAGTATATTCAATTGCTGCTCAGTTCTGCTTTGTTTGTTATGCAGAGCTGAAAAGAGTAGGAAAGGGCTAAGGGAGAGGCAGTGGGCGGGGTCATTCCACACCAATGGAGAGAGAAAGGAACACCGAGATGTGTCGCACACTATAACCTGCAATGTCACTGGAGGGAGGGCCATTGGTGTCTCCTGCGTAGTGTGAGCTATAGCTGTTTGTGGTGGTTGGAGACTTATGTGTGTAAGTAGATACTCTGCCACATGCACAAATACACATTTTCACTTTTATTATACGTGTATAGATAGAAATATATATATACTGTATATATAGAGAGAGATTTCTATTATGTATTTATTTACTGTGTTTGTTTATCCTTCTCCAGCCCACAGCTGAGGATGTCCTTCATAGTTTTCTCAACCAGAGGCTCGACTCTCATGAGACTCACTGAAGACAGGTAATATTAATAATAATAATAAGAATAATAACAATTCAAGTTCAGACTAAAACCCAAAGCGGATACATGCCCAGCCTCCAGTTGCTCCCATTTCCAATGTCTAGTGCAAACCTAAATCTAAACTAATTTGTCTGAGGGACAGATAAACTCAGATGATCATGATGATGATCTCCGTTTTGCTTTTCTTCTCCTTGGAGTTTGGTTGTCCTCAGCGTCTGGGGTTGTTTTGCTTCTCTCCTGCAGATGCTTTAATTCATATCACATTTTTGCAAGGGTCTGGTTTGCATTTGAGGCCTTTTGTTATATTCACACAGTTTATGGTTTAAGTTTTGTTTTATGGGAATCAGGTCACAGAGTTATTGGCCGGAGGGGAATTCCCGTGATTCCCATTGACTAATATGATTGCTATTGGATTTGATGTTGGAATTCCCATGATCCCATTGACTCTGTTATTGGAACTAGCATGATCCTCATTGGATTTGATGTTGGAATTCCCATGATCCCCATTGACTCTTATATTAGAACTTCCATGATCCGCATTGACTCTGTGATTGGAACTCGCATGATCCCCATTGGATTTGATGTTGGAACTCCCATGATCCTCATTCACTCTGTTATTGGAATTCCCATGATGCCCATTGATGTTGGAACTGCCATGATCCCCATTAGCTCTAATATGAACCTCATTGATTCTAATGTTGGAATTCCCATGATCCCCATTCACTCTGTTATTGGAACTCCCATGATCCCCATTAGATTTGATGTTGGAATTCCCATGATCCCATTGACTCTGTTATTGGAACTAGCATGATCCTCATTGGATTTGATGTTGGAATTCCCATGATCCCCATTGACTCTTATATTAGAACTTCCATGATCCCCATTGACTCTGTGATTGGAACTTGCATGATCCCCATTTGATTTGATGTTGGAACTCCCATGATCCTCATTCATCTGTTATTGGAACTCCTATGTGATGTTGGAACTGCCATGCACCACCATTAGCTCTAATATGACCCCCATTGGTTCTGATGTTGGAATTCCCATGATCCCCATTCACTCTGTTATTGGAACTCCCATGATCCCTATTGGATTTGATGTTGGAACTGCCATTGATCTCCACTGGCTTGAATATGATTTCCATTGACTTATGTTGGACCTTGCATGATGCCCATTGGATTTGATGTTGGAACTACCATTGATCTCCATTGACTCAAATATGATCCCCATTGACTCTGATGTTGGAACCCTTGTGATGCCCATTGGATTTGATGCTGGAACTCCAATAATCCCCATTGGCTCTGATGCTAGAACTCCCATGATCCCCTTTGCTCTGTGTTTCTCGTTTCTTCTTCTTCTTCTTCTGTGTTGTTGTTGGCTAGTGCTCTCATGGCTCTCTCCCATTGGCTCACTCTTGTTGGCACGGAACCCGAATGCTCCCTTCCTATTGGCTGCCTTATTGTTGACATGGAATGTCCAGGGTTCCTCCCTATTGGCTCTGCCTTCCTTGCTCTGGAATTTCCACTTGCTCACCGTGCCTCTTGGGCTTTGGCTGACCTAGAACTCCCATCATCCTTCCCCACTGGCTAATAATAATAGTAATAAATAATAACAACAACAATAATAATTGTATATTTTACATTGTAAACTAATGCTTCTATGTTAACGTTTGAGTCTCTTCAGGAGAGACAAAGCGGGGTATAAATAATAATAATAATAATAATAATAATAATAATAATAATAATTATTATTATTAATAATAATAATAATAACTTGCTTTTCTTTCTTCAAAAGAGATTCAAAACTGCTTACGGTGAAACCAATGCAACTTAATTTTTAAAATCTAAAAAGATACAAGCATTAAAATACAATTAAATATTACAATTATTATTATTAAATAATATAATCTATATAAATAAAAATGTACATATCCGTTTGTGAGTGACCTCAAATCTTCCAAAGTACTCCAGCGATTGCTACGAAATTTGGACACAATGTAGCATTCAAACAGGAGAATGTTTTTATGTATTCACATACCTACTATCACATAAATGTCACACCTGGGACAGATAAAAACATGTTTGGCATCAAAAACAGCACCATCTGCTGGACGTGCAAGCAACATATCGCAAAGCGACCCCGTTAGGGCCAGGGCTGCCGTTAGGGATCTGCGGCCTAGTCGCCTCCCACTAAGACTGCCTGCCTGTCTCCCTCCGGAGCAGAACCGGGAGGGAAAAGGGTGGCGGGGCAGGTAGGGAAATCCACGCAGGGGAGAGAGGCAGGGCACGGGCCCAGGGGAGGGAGGGAGGCAGGGAAAGAAACAGGCCCAGCCCAAGCTCCGGGCTCCTGTAGCCTCACGCCCTGCCCGGCCTTGCCCGGCACCACCTCACGCCCGTGCCTCAGGAGGAAGGAAGGATTGAATGGTAGGAAGGGAGAAATAGATAGATAGAAGGGAAGGAGAGGAAAGGGTTGCCCCAAAACACATTCATCATTATTATATAGACCAGTATCATTGCTATTATGATTACTATATACATACACCAGTGTTATTATATAGATCATATACCCAGTATTATTATTATTTACACCATTATTATTATTATTTCACAGACAATGGAAAAACAGAAATATTGCATACCCACAAGCATTATAAAATTACATATATTAGAAACCAGCTCTTTCTCTTCTCTTTCTTTTCCATTTAACCAGACTGTGCCACAGCAATGCGTGATTGGGTTCAGCTAGTTATCAATAATAATAATAATAATAATAATAATAATAATAATAATAATAATACAACACACAGTCCTAGGTGCTTGGGAAGTGTTCAACTTGTGATTTTGTGATATGAAATCCAGCATATAGATCTCGTTTGCTGTGACATACTGTGCTTTTGTGTCAATAATAATAATAATGGGTTGTTGTAGGTTTTTCCGGGCTATATGGCCATGTTCTGGAGGCAAAAATTGCCTCCAGAACATGACCATATAGCCCGGAAAAACCTACAACAACCCAGTGATTCCGGCCATGAAAGCCTTCGACAATAATAATAATGTTAGTATTATTATTAACACAGTTAAAACCCTTAAAACTTATTCATAACTAAAAACTACATGGCAGGAACTATCTAAACCCTAAAGCATAGATATAGATATAGAGATATATATAGGTGGATATAATTTAAGCAGTAGTCCTTTTGAAAGGCCTAAAAGATGCATCTCTGCACAGTTGGATTAATGCAGTTTAACACCTCTGCAGTGCCAACGGGGTTCTGGACACAGCATATTATTTGAGAACACAGAAATGCTGGACCACACCAACAACCACCATGTCAGACTACACAGAGAAGCCATTGAAATCCACAAGCATGTGGACAATTTCAACAGAAAGGAAGAGACCATGAAAATGAACAAAATCTGGCTACCAGTATTAAAAAACTCTAAAATTATAACAGCTAAACAACAGAGAGGAAAAAACCAGGCACAGATTAACACCTCCCAGCAGCAGATTTTCCCAGACTCAGGCAGGCCTTCAAATGCTAATGAAGGTGATCAGCTAAACATTCACACCTAACTGCAGCAGGGAAGAGCTCCTTGCCCCACCCCAGCCATTCCACAGATATATAAACCCATTTTTCCTACTTCCAACAGACCTTCTCAACCTCTGAGGATGCTTGCCATAGATGCAGGCGAAACGTCAGGAGAAATGCCTCTAGATAGAACATAGCTCTATAGCCCGAAAAAACCCACAAGAACCTAGTGATTCCAGCCATGAAAGCCTTCGACAATACATAAGGATCTGTTTTCCTTCTCCTGTCTAGCATTGCAAGCATTTATTCCTTTTGAGAGAGAGCAATCCTCCCAATAGATCGTTCCTCCCCAATCCTTCCTAATAGCCTTTTGTTCAGTTGCGCTTCCAACGATTAAGTCCAGAGATCTGGGTTCAAATCCCTTGCACAGCCAAGAAAACCCGTCCAAAATAAGCCCAAATACTCTAATTGTTTGTGCAAACTGTTTGTGTAAATTGCTTATGCAAACTGCTTGTGTAAATTGCTTGTGCAAAGTGCTTATGTAAATTGTGCAAACTGTGTAAATTGCTTCTGCAAACTGCTTGTGTAAATTGTTTGTGCAAACTGCTTGTGTAGATTGCTTGTGCAAACTGCTTGTGTAAATTGCTTCTGCAAACTGCTTGTGTAGATTGCTTGTGCAAACTGCTTGTGTAAACTGTGCAAACTGTTTGCATAAATTGCTCACGCAAATCTTGTGCAGCCTGCTTGTGTAAACCGCTTGCGCAAACAGCTTGTGTAAATTGTTTCTGCAAACTGCTTTTGCTCAAATTGTGGGACCAAGTGATGGGAACTCGCCGGTGCTTCCCTGCTTGGTCCAGATGTGTGGAAGCCCACCCGTGTGGGATTTGGCGGGGTTATCGGGTTCCCATGGCAATTGGCGGCGCATGAGCTCATGCGGAGATAAGCGTGGTGTGTCCGCACCCACAAAAGGACCTGAAAACTGTCCCAATGCTGGCTTCCAATCTCTCTTTGTTCAAGTAAATGAGATTAAGCTGGACGTTGAGGATTTTTGGAGTCTTTTCCCATGAAATCATTGTTTCTTGGATGGAAAATCTCATTCTCCCTGAATGCATCTCCACTGTAGATATAATGCAGTTTGACACTATGGGATCTTGAGAGTATACATGTGCATATGTGTGTGCATGTGTATATATGTATATGTGTGTATACATATAGATGTGCATGTGTATCTAAGCATATTGTATATGTGTGTATATAAATATGTGTGTATATGTATGTGTGTGTATTAATTCAACAGTGTCGACCATGAAATAGGTTTCATTAAATTTTGCAGACTATAAAGGTGCATCCGCACTGCAGAGTTAACCCACATTGACGCCACTTTCAGTGTTATGACTCCAGGCTGTAGTGTCTTGAGAACTATAATTTTTCATTCTTTGGCAGCGAAGTCCTTGCGAAACTACAACTGCCGGGATTTCATAGCATTTAGCCAATGCAGGGAAAAATGCATCTGCACTGTAGAGTTAATGCAGTTTGACACCACTTGAATTCAATGTGACAGGATCTTGGGAGCCGTGGTTTCACATGTTATCATTATCATTATTATTTACATCATCATTATCCATTTCCCGCCTCCTCACTGACATGTAGTTGTTATTGTTGTTGCTGCTGCTATTATTATTGTTGTTGCAATATTATTTATTATTATCATCATCATCATTATTATTAATTTCATCATCATCTTATTATTTACATCATTATCCATTTCCAGCCTCCTCAATAACATCTTATTGTTGTTGTTGCAATATTAATTGATCGTATAAATATGCTTTGAATGTGTTTTTATGTTTAACTAGCTTGGGGACCCGGCGCTGCCCAGGTTATTAGAGAAAGTGGCTAAAGGAGGTTCTGTATGCCAAGTTTGGTCTTGATCAGTCATTGGATGAGGGTCGCAGTGGTTTCAATAATTGAGTGAAGGTACTGCAAGTCCCATCATCCATGGTCCACCCTCCTCCAAACTGCAACAGGATATAGAGTGGGTCATGGGGGCTCTGTGCCAATTTGGTCTTGATCAGTCATTGGATGAGGGTCGCAGTGGTTTCAGTAATTGAGTGAAGGTACTACAAGTCCCATCATCCATGGTCCACCCTCCTCCAAACTGCAGCAGGATGTAGAGTGGGTCATGAGGGCTCTTTGTGCCAATTTGGTCTTGATCAGTCATTGGATGAGGGTCGCAGTGGTTTCAGTAAGTGAGTGAAGGTACTGCACGTCCTATCATTCATGGTCCATCCCCTTAGAACTGCATCAGGATGTAGAGTGGGTCATGAGTACTCTGTGTGCGAAGTTTGGACCTGGTCTGTGATTTGTAGGAGCTACAATGTTCTGTGGGAAGTGAATTGGGTGAAGGTACTGCAAATCCCATCATTCGTGGCCCATCCTGCCCTAAACCGCACCAGGTTGTAAGGTGGGCCATTGGGCTTCTGTGTGCCAAGTTTGGTCCTGATCCGTCCTTGGGGTGGGCCACAGTGCTCTAAGAAAGTTAGTTAAAGTACTGCAAGTCCTGTCATCCATGGTCCATCCTCCCTCAAACTGCACCAGGATGTTGAGTGGGTCTTGCGGGGGGGGGGGGGGGTCTGTGTGCCAGGTTTGGTCTTGTTCTGTCATTGTTGGGGGCCACAAAGTGTTTTGGACTTCAACTCCAACCATTCCTGACAGCCTCAGGCCCCTTTCCTTTTCCCTCTGCTAGCTCGGAATGTTCTGGTGGCCAATCAGAGCCCATATGCAAATAGTACCACAGTGGCAGCCAATCAGAACGCTGCCACATATACCTCCCGTCCTTCCTCCGCATACAAACACTGACTTTTATTATATACATAGATTGTGATTTAAAAAAATATACCATTAGTATTTAATTCTGTTGTAATGTTTGTATATTGGTAGATTTTAAATCCTATTGAAATGCTTTTAATTGTGAGCCACTTTGAGTCTCCTTCGTGGAGAGAAAACATGAGGTATAAATAAACATAATAATAATAATAATGTATTCTAATACTAATACTAGACTGGTCCATGAAGTCGCAAAGAGTCGGAAACATAATAAACATAATAATAGTAATAGTAATAATAATAATATATTCTAATGTAATACTAATACTAGACTGGTCCATGAAGTCATGAAGAGTCGGAAATGAACAACAAATACTAGATACATAGGCACTTTGAGTCTCCTTTGTGGAGAAAGTGGGATATACTTAAAAATAAGACCTTAAAATAAGAGTTAAACTTATTTTGAAAGTTAAACTATTTTAAAAAAATTAGTAGAGATGGAAACCGCTCTTTGGAACAATATATTTACCGAAATAGGTAACATTCTAGGACTAAACATCACCCCGGATGCTAGGTTAGGGTTACTAATGGGTGCCACAAAGTTGAATTTAGAAATGGAAAAGAAAGAATTTGTGATTATTTTACTCACAGTGCCGAGACTTACAATCACAAGGAATTGGGTAATCGTAACCAATCTCACGCTGGAAACATGGTATGGGGAGGTATGGAACGCAAGCTGAAATGATAAACTATTAATAGAAATGAGGGTGTTCGGGGGGGAAACGAATAGATCAGAATTCGATTCATATTGGTCGGTTTTTATTAAATATATTTTGGAGAGTGAGAAGGGAAAACAATACAACTTTGTTGGTCAGGAATTTTGGATATGACATTTGTTTACTAGTCGATTCATATATTTACGGCAAAGGAAATGATACTCATTCAGACCTTGGTGTTCTGTTTACACTTTAACTTGTTAATATATGTAAATAAAATTTTATATTAAAAGTAAATAAATTTATTTGTCGTGTCAGGGCAGCCAGTCAATTATATTACATTTCTAACAGAACAAAGCAAACAAACAGACAAAATACAAAATTTGTGAGTTTGGTAGTTGATTAAATGTCCTTTGACCAGTATCTGGCCACTCCTCTGGTGTTGCCACAAGAAGGTCCTCCATTGTGCATGTGGCAGGGCTCAGGTTGCATTGCAGCAGGTAGTCAGTGGTTTGCTCTTCTCCACACTCATATGTCGAGGATTCCACTTTGTAGCCCCATTTCTGAAGGTTGGCTCTGCATCTTTTGGTGCCAGAGCGCAGTTTGTTCAGCGCCTTCCAAGTTGCCCAGTCCTCTGTGTGCCCAGGGGGGAGTCTCTCATTTGGTATCAGCTATTGGTTGAGGTTCTGGGTTTGAGCCTGCCACTTTTGGACTCTTGCTTGCTGAGATGTTCCAGCAAGAGTCTCTGTAGATCTTAGAAAACTATGTCTAGATTTAAGTTGTTGGCGTGCTGGCTGATACCCAAACAGGGGATGAGCTGGAGATGTCTCTGCCTTGGTCCTTTCACTATTGGCTTCTACTTCCCGGCAGATGCCAGGTGGTGCAATACTGGCTAGACAGTGTAATTTCTCCAGTGGTGTAGGGCGCAGACACCCCGTGATAATGCGGCATGTCTCATTAAGAGCCACATCCACTGTTTTAGTGTGGTGAGATGTGTTCCACACTGGGCATGCATACTCAGCAGCAGAGTAGCACAGCACAAGGGCAGATGTCTTCAGTCTAAATAAATAAATAAAAGGAATAGAGAGGGGGGAAAAGCAGTGGGATCTCACCCCACTCGAACCGCCAACCTCTTGGTCAGCTTTGCAACAGCTCGGTTTAACCCGCTGCACCACCAGGGGCTCCTAAGTGGGATGTAAATAGACATAAACATAATAATAATGATAATAATAATAATAATAATAATAATAATAATAATACATGAATAATAATACTATAAATACTAATAATACATATATAGCTGCTTTGACTCCTGGTGGAGAGAAAAAGCGGGTTATAAATACATATAATAAACATAATAATAATAATAATAATAATAATAATAATAATAATAAATTCTAATACTAAGAATAGATACATAGCCGCTTTGAGTCTTCTTGTGGATAAACATGATGATGATGATGAGGATGATGATGATGATGATATAATAATAATAATAATAATAATAATAATAATAATAATAATAATAATAATGGAAAGAGTTATAGAAAATGAACATGCCAAACTCCTCTGGGACTTTCGGATTCAGACAGACAGAGTTTTGGAGCATAATACTCCTGACCTCACGATTGTGTTAAAAAACAAAGCATGGATTGTTGATGTCACAATCCCAGGTGACAGCAGGATTGCAGAGAAACAACTGGAAAAACTGACACGATATGAGGATTTATAGATCAAACTGCAAAGACTCTGGCACAAGCCAGTAAAGGTGGTCCCAGTGGTGATTGGCACACAGGGTGCAGTGCCTCAAGACCTTGGCCTGTACTTAAACACAACCGGCGTTGACAAAATTACCATCTGCCAGCTGCAGAAGGCCACCTTACTGGGGTCTGCACGCATCATTCGCCAATACATCACACAGTCCTAGACACTTGGGAAGTGTCTGACATGTGATCCAATTCAACAGCCAGCAGAGTGTCTGCTGTGGACTCATCTTGTTGTGTTTCAAATAATAATAATAATAATAATAATAATAATAATAATAATAACAATAATAACAATAATACTCTGATTTCACTTCCCTAAAACAAGAGTCAAAGTGATTCACTAACAATATACTTGAAAACAATAAAAACCTACGAGATATAAGCATAGAATTGTTTGAAAAAAATGTTTAAAATTATTACAATTAAAATAATTAGAAAATAATGTGTTTTTTTCCATTGCAGGGAGCAGATCCGCCAGGGGTTAGAGGAGCTGCAGAAGGTCCTTCCCGGAGGAGACACTTACATGCACGAAGGGTTTGAACGGGTAAATGAGAGCAAACCACATTGGGTGCATCTACACTGGGGAATTAATGCGGTTTGGCACCATTTGAGCTGCCATGCTCAATTCTGTGGGGTTATGGTAATTTGGTGAGGCTCAAGGAAGGGAAGGCTAAAGGTCTGGTATTACTATTATTAATAATAATAATAGTAGTAGTAACAATAATTTATTTCTATCCCGCCTTATTGCTTTTCATTGAGCCATGGCAGTTCAAGGGGTGCCAAACCACATTTGTTCCCCAGTGTAGATGCACCCCAAGCCTGTTCTCTACAACCTGGAATTCTTTCTAAGGAAATCTTGTATTAAAAATATCCTCTTTGGTTCTCTTTTAGGCAAGTGAACAAATTTACCATGAAAATGTCCAAGGTAAGTCTCTCTCTCTCTCTCTCTCTCTCTCTCTCTATATATATATATATATATATATATACATACACACACACACACACAAAAATATACATACATGTATTTTCTACATATATGTGTGTGTCTGTGCACATGTATATATATGTATATATGTGTGTCTGTATTCATATATATATATATGCACATATATATACTCATATACTTTAGTATACATTCATAGACACAAATACCTACATATATACACAGACACACACACACACATATATACACACATCCATACACACACAGATATATACATATACATATACATATATATATATATACTAGCTGTGCCCTGCCACGCGTTGCTGTGGCCTATAATAAAACTTATCAAAGTTGAGGTAGATATCTGGACTATTATGAAAGAGAAGTACTTACCTATTCCCCCTTTTCCTCTCCCTTTTTCTTTCTTCCTTCTCTACCTCTTTCTTTCCTTCTTTCACTACTTGGTTTCATCCTTCTCTCTTTCCTTCATTCCCTCCCTTTCTTCCTTTGCCTTTCTTCCCTCCCTGTTTGCTTCCTTCTTTCACTTTTTATTTCCTTTTATTTCACCACCATCATAACAATAACAATAATGCAATGCATTGCCTCTGGGACCTGACACCTCTCCCATTCCCCCAGGGTCTCATAGGAATAATAGCATAATAATAATAATAGAAATAACAACCTTTACCCGCCACGTGTTGCTGTGGCCAACCTTCCCTCTTTCTCTCCTTCTTTCCTCCTTCCTTCCTTCCTTCCCTCCCATCTTTCCTTCTCCTCTTCCTTCTCTATCTCTTTCCTTCCTTCCCCCTTTTTCTTTCTTTTCTGTTTTTCTCTTTTCTTCCTTACCTCCCTATCTTAAATTATTGGACCTTCATTTAATCTAAGATTTAATTAAGTAAATTAAGGTTATTTCATCTACTACCTATGCAAAGTTGTATTCAATACCTCTGTTTTCTCATTTATCGTTACTCAAACATTCTTCCTCTATCATTTATTATATTGGCGGTTCTCTTTCTTTCCTCCTCGGTCATTTTCTGTCCTTTTCTTCTCTTTCTTTAACATTCCTTCCTTCCCCCTTTTTCTTTACCTCCCTTCTCTTTCTTTCCCTTCCTGTCTTGCCTAGATTTTGACAGGGCGGGCGGGAAGGGGCGGGTGGGGTTTGGAGGTGGCGTGAAGTAAAAGGAGGTAAGGCAGGGGGGGAGTGATGGAGTGTGGGGTTGTGTGTGTGTGTGCGGCAGGGGGGAGTGATGGAGCGTGGGGTTGCGTGTGTGTGTGCGGTGGCGGAGGGTGGGGCTGTGTGTGTGCATGCGGCAGGGGGTGTGTGTGTGCGGGAAGTGGCGCGGAGGGGCTTGG